TTGAAATTGCCCACAGATTCTGCACATTGGGTCGGTGCCATCTTTCAGGATCTTGTTTCGGTAATAGTTGATCTTAATGCATTGATCTTGGGCAGCAATAATGAAACCTTCTGTTTCTGATTTGAGGCCAGGTGCACTCAGCCAACTGTGGGTTTTGTCTTGGTCTACATCCTTCTCTTTTGTTCTTTTTGGGTACTGACCATGCAAAGGTTTTTCTTATTCTTATTCTTATTCTTATTCTTCTTCTTCTTATTATTATTACTATTATTATTATTATTATTATTATAAGTGAAAGACTTTCAGCCAATCAGCGAGCAGTGGACAAGATGGCTCTGTATTAACTGCTGTTTCCCGAAAGAAAATGGGGTTCTTTATGTCATACAATAAATTCTTTATTGACCAAGCTTCTGCGGTCAATAAAAATTCCCCAATATCGAGCGCTCTTGTGTAAACAAGTTTAGTTAATTAACCCTATACATATTGTTATCCAGAAGGATTATTTTTGGTCTTTTCGGGGCGTGGGCGGATTAACTACAGGTAACAACTGAAAACCACATTAGTTCCTCATAGTTAAATGGCGTTGTTTATGTCATTAATTCTTGGTAAACAATTTATAGTGTCTATGTATATGCTATACTTAAGAGTGACAAGAGCACATAAACCCACCGATCACAACTAACCTTTGCATTCCAGCGAAGCGATAGTTCCATTGACAAGCTCGTAACCAGCCTTGCAAAAGCACGCCAGATCATCTGTCATGTTCCATTCTCCATTACTGAGACACACACCGGATAACTTGACTTTATTGACCGAATTCACATCTGTACATTTTCCATCTTGGTCGCTTAGATTTGAGTCATTTGCTGGGGCAACTGTCCTTGGGAATGTCACTAAGGTACTGCCTATCTCGGGGCAGTATCTGTAGCTAATGACAACTTTCGTCAATGTTATGCAGACTCCTTGGTCTAAGAATGCCAGATATATACCCCGAGCTCTGGTAACCACAGAACCATAAAATACGTCTGTTTTAATTTTTCCCTGAGGAGGCAAACTTTCCGGCGTTATGACTGCTTCTTTCTGAAACATCCCTTTAGTGGGGTCAGGAAGAGGTTCTTTGGTATTTGCATGATAGGAATAAAGAGTTAAGTATGCTTTGCAGAATTGACTAATCTCTGTTTTAGGGCAGTTTAGGAGGATGTAATGTATTTCAATATCCAGCCGTTTAGCATTCCTGACATCAATGAAGTCTGTTCGTAACCAGTTCCTTGGTTCCCTTGTGATCAAATCACTAATATCGCAAACTTTGTACCTCGGGCTTACAATTGAAGGGTGAATCCACTATTAAAAATAATGAAAAAAGAATAGAGAAAAAATAGTACCAATGAAATTAGTGCAGAGAGCTTGTGTTTTAATTATAATTAAATCGTTTGAGCTACAATTCTGAAAACAGATATATGACCCGTTGACCCAAATCAGACACTCCTGACAAGAAACAATACACTGCAGTAAATCATATATTTATAAATTATTAAATTATAATAATTATTATTATTTATTTTAAGCTCACAATATTCCTCAATTGGAACATGATACATACAGTACTTGAAGGACTCAATAATATTTCAGTCATAAACTCATAGACTCATTTAGCTCTTAAGGACTGTTATTGGTCTCCTCTACACTACGTCACACTTCACACTTTTTTTTATATCATGACAGATATACCCCTCACCCCTGCACCTTGTGTGTCTGTTATGATATTCCAGTTCCACAGTCCAGAACCAGATTGAGGCTCATTGACAAGAATTTCTGAAGAGGAAAAAGGGTAATATTAAAAGCAGATAAATTGACTAGAAACACTTTGCATATTTTTTTGCACCCCACCAAAACGTACACATAACCAATAACATTTGTCAGGCACAAGCTAATAGACCAATTTCGATAATTAAAATTCAGCCTAAAACAATAGACCTCAGTACGAGGCTCTGGGGAATAACAAGAGAGTTTGTGGGGTTTATTCCCCAGAGCCTCGTACTGAGTTCTATTGTTTAAGGCTGAATTTTAATATATCGAAATTGGTCTATTGCACAATATACTCATGATTAACAAATAGAACTCCCCCTATGTGATCGTCTAATTGTGTTAATCACTTAAAGTATCAGATAATATTTTTACCAATCTTTTTTATGAGAAGGCTGCTTGCATTAATGGATTACTTTATGCTGATATATCTGATCATATTCCTATCTTTCATATCCATAAACTAAGTAATAAAAAAAATAGTAAAAAAGTAAGAAAGTAAAACATATAAGAAAATATGATAAACATTCTGTGGAAAGTTTCATCAACAATTTAGATTGTACTGATTGGAGAAAAAGTAAAAATAATGAAGATCCTAACATATAATAACTTTATCAAATCCAAAAGTATTAAGCCCTGGGTTACTAAAGGCATACTTAAATCAATTAAAAGAAAGAATTT